TATTTATTATTTTGCTGCTCCCTATCACCTGTTTGAATCACATAATAGTGAACTTTACCCAGATGCAGAACGCTTTCATTCATGCACTTCCAAACACTTATAAAAAGCACCCTGCTTTAAAGTGGTTTCCCTGGAAGAGGCCGTAATGTCTTTATTATTCCAAAGGTGTCTACACTCTGCACTGCTTATCGCCGCAGCTGCTGCCGTTTAAAAAAAAGTCTTGACATTGGAAATAGTAGTTTGACAAAATAATGTTAGTTCTTTCCATGTCACAGTCTCCGTCACACACGTCACTTATGATAGAGTCAACTCCTCCTGCAGGTTAATGCCATCCACTCAGTTTGCAGGTTAACGGTTAAAATGTCTATTATTTGGGTGACTAATCAAATTACACTACTTTAAAACAGACTTTAAATGTAGAAGTAGAATCATACCAACTCCTTGTTCTTCAATCATAGAAAAACTATGATTTTCGTAGTGAAAACTGACTTAAAGTGAATAAGTGAGGAGGGATAGAAGCAGAACGGTGAATGAAATCTCATGATCCTCCATCTTAAAGGTGCCCTGTGGAGTTTTTGATGACTCATGCTTGCAGTTATGGAGCAGTGTTTCTGTTAGCCTGTTAGTTGGAGCAAATAGTTTAAAAGTTGACTTTGCAACATGTTATTTATGACTCAGGACTCAAAAAAACCTCTACAGAGTACTTGACAGTTGACTTTAGATGTACTTCAGGTGTAGACTAACCAGAATTACTATTTCAAATAACTGAATCATTTCATGTGCAGTGAGTGATGTACTGTTGCACTGCGGTGAAACATTACATCACTGCTGGGCGTGGCCAGAAGAGAAAAGTGGCACAATAATCTGCCATGACAGATTTATTAAATCAACACACCTCCAATCCACGCACACACACGTACCCGCCGCTTCCCGTCTCCTGTCCTCTCAGACGGAGGCGTGTCGGAGCTCCGCGGGGAGAGTCTGAAATCAGGCAGATTAAGGAAGTGGAGCGGTTGTACCTGGCAATAAGCTCTCTGCTGGATTTGCCCATGTGGCCAAAGAGTTTTGGTGAAGCTCCACTTCCTCGTGTGGTGGCAAAGGTTTTGAAAATGAGTTTGTCTGTGTGTCTCACTGTGGGATTCTGCGTTTGAGTGAGAGAAAACTTCAACAACGGCAGCGAGGTTTCTTCCCACACTTCCTCCTCAAACTTCTCTTATGGTTGGGATTATGGTGCTGTCAGTGTACAGTATCATGGGAGTTTCTGCAAAAGGCAAGATTAGGGGGGAAACATTACCTGAAGGCTTACCGTGCTATCTTTTCCACGTGGTGTGTTGCTTCCCAACGGCGTTCAATAGAGTAAAACACAGTTTGCCTATGTGTGTTTGTGTGCAGCCCAACGCTTCTGTCGTTTGTTTAACTTCTTGTGTGTGTGTGTGTGGGGGGAGTAATCACCTGTAGCAGACTGCCAGGCTACTGCGTAAAGGAGAGGATTTCTTTTCTTCCTGCGATTGTCATCCCCACTCCCATCCCCCATCACCCCTACAGCGGCCGGCACAGCTCCGCGCTGCATCTCTTCATCCAAATGAGACTGTGTTTGATGTGCAGACTTCCTTTAAAGCCCCTGTGGGAGACGAAAGTTGAAGTTTGTTCCCCTTGTTAACAGAGGCCCTTGCAGCCAGGATCCAACAGGCAGCTTGCTGCTTCCCTCCGAGACGTGTGAGGAACGTTATCTGCTGACTTCAAATGAGTGCTGAAGAGGGGGCAGCTTTGTTAAGGAACACTGTGGCTCCTCCACGCTATTCAGAATTGCTTTAATTCCTCCTTTGAGCAGAGCTTCTTCGTTTCTCTGGTTCTTTTTATCGTTAAAGCACTTCTACTGTTTCAAGGAAGGGAGGCCAGATTTAGATGCAACACAGTTACCATTTAAAACGGGAGTAGTGGAGGTTTAGGAATGACCTTGATGAAAATAGCGCTCTGTCCTCTGGAAAAATGAGCTCGGCCGACTTCAACGGAAGAAAAATTAAAAGCTATTAAAGTTGTGTCTTTGTGGAGAAGTCTGCTTTTATCTCACAATTGCTCCAGACTGCAGCACAGCCCATTACAATGCAGAGGATTATAATGAAATATTCACCCGGTATCAGTATCTACAACAGCATCTTTACTCATGGAGGTCAGTGTTACATTACCTCATAGTGACAACCAGGAAAAAAATCTGAATTTAATTTCACTTCCTTCTACTCATTTTATATTTTTCTTCTTTTTTTTTTACTGTCACATAAATTAAATATGCTCGGGGCCTATTAGTAGATATTTGAGACATTATAAATTGTTGCCTGATCAGTTATCAAGTTAATTAAAACCAAAATGTCAAAAAATTGAACAAAGAATGATACGTACATTATTTTAATGATTTGAGCTTTAAAGGGTAATTGGCAGCTTTAAAGCAATTATTACATTTTTGTCTTCAACAAGTTCAATAATAATTAAGTTGTCCCTAACATCCCGATCTGCCAGTGCAGTTATGGCCTATCTGAGGTTAATAAAGATTGAGAAGATTGATACCACACTCATGTTTGATGCTACAACCAGAGCTCTGTTAGCTTAGCTTAGCATAAAGACTATAAACAGGACTAAACAGCTAGCCTGTCTGTGCGAATGTCACAAAATTAGCCAAATATCACCTTTAAGGCCTCCTCTAAACTGTTTGGAGTCTTGTCAGGTTGGAAGGTGACCAGAAATGTCAAGAAGTCACTGAGCTAGCAAATAAATATTCTGGCACATAACACTCTGTAAGAGCCAAATTTGATGTTTTTACACACGCAGTTTAAGATATGTGTTTATTAGTGATGCTGGTAAAGATTTTGTTACCTCTGGACAAAGTGAAGCTAGTTGTTTCCCTCCTGTTTCCTGTCTTTATGCTAACTAGCTCCTAACTGTAGCTTTAAATTTACTCTACAGACATAAGAGTGGTATCGATCATTTCCTCTTCCTCTAGCGAATAAACATATTTCCCAAAATGCTGAACTACGAAAAAAATCTACTGCAATTTTGGCACTGTAATCTACGTTTGTGACAAAGCATCATCTTGAAAATTGCCGCCAACCTTTGAATAAACAAAGCAAACATTCATCCAAAACTATTCCACTAAAGTATTACCTTTGATAGTCGCTACAGCTCAAAAATACTTGTTTGATCCTTTTGGAGACCCACATATGAGCTGGAGAGCCTGTAAAGAGGCAAAAATAAAATAATGAATGACAACATCTCACTCTCTTCTACCAGGACATGTTTATTTACAGCGGCAAATGACAGGAGTCACAAAGGTTCCACAGGTACGTACAGAGAGACATCAATAGTTCCCACTTCCTGCACAAAGCACACTCAGCGGGGGGACAGTCCAAGGGACACAGGGAGCATGGGGACAAAGAGGACACAAACTGTACACTGAGCTCAAACACACCTGTTTTACCCCCTACAGAAAAAGGACAGAGGAATGGTGGGGGAGACCGAGAGGAGGGGAGGACAAGAAGGGGAGAGAGGGGAGAGAGAGGAGAGAGGGGGGAGAGTTGGGTATTTAGACTCATATTCAAATACAAAAGAACATGTACAAATCGTATAGCCTCCAGGCACTGTGCTCCCATATTTACAGTCATCGTAACAGGCAGCGGAACCACTCCATGGCAGGACCATCCATTTGAGATATGCAGGTACAAGGGCTCGCTGTGAGAAAACAAAGCTGAGATAAAAACCAATGGTGTCTGAGAGGCAGGGAATAGTGGCGGAGGGGGGTGGCGGCTCACAGACACACGCGTGGAGTGCTGCAGCCTGGGGGAATTAATCACTGTGTCGAGAACTACATAATCAGGTTTTACCTATCGGAGCGCACTTTGAAGCTCAGGGTGAGAGCTCTCGCCAACTCACTCCACGCTCTAAGTGGAACGCGCTCACAGCACTCGGACATTCATACTCGGCACGTAGTCGTGAGCTACATGACTTGCTGCACAATGCATCATGGAACTGAAAAGTGTACTGAATAATATAAATATTCAACAAAATTAACAAATAAATTATAACTACATAAACGCCAGAATAGCAAGATATTAACTTTGCAACTCTTTTTCATTTATATTTGAAATTTGGACTTATTGTGAAAAATCTAAATGGGACACACACACACACACATACACAGATGATTACAGTACGTGCAGGAACATTCAACAGACATACATGCAACCTGATTCAAGTAGGTAAGTGTATTCACCCACCCATGCATGTATGCACACACACACACACACACACCAATGCCCCACACCTCACAGACACCTCCGACCCTGGCTTAATTGCTTAACAGATTTTCTTCGCAGCCATTCACAGCATCACTCTGACAATCCAGTTGTACTAGGTGAGTCTGTTTTTCGTCGCAGTGTCGTCGACCAAATCGCAAAAACTATCATTTTCCCAGAATTAAAGCATCACAATAGAATTCATTCGTCCTGACAAATTTCTGTGGAAAATAGGCAGGCAAAAAATGTTTGCTGGCTCTCCACACCTGCATACCGCGGAGGCATTGGGCCAACCCAAGCGGGGGAGAGAAAAAAAAAAGAGAGAGAGAGAAGAGAGAGAAGGCACACTAATGCCGTAATTACCGTCTCCATTGAAATGCTGTGAAATAGCTTAGGGCACGGTTTCCAGAAGGGAAAGCAAATGACTAGAAAAAGCAGTATTACACCATCACTGAACTTTGGACCAAACACAACAGAAGAGGAAAACAGCTTTTCATCTGAGGAGCGTCACAAAAAAGCCAAGCCTGTTGCCTTTTTGAAAAAAAGACAAATCATTTTAGGATATATTTAATAAAAGCTCTGTAAAATATTCTTTTTTTTTCCCTATGTACAACACACTAACATCAGAGAGAATGCAATCAGACCAAGCAAAAAACAAAAAAATGCATCTGATGGCAGTCTGATACAGGAATGAATAAAGAAAAACAGGTTCATTTTAAAACGTGTTGATTCAGTTCTCATCGGCACACTCGTTTGTTCCCGTAGTCGAGTCTGCTTTTCCTACAGACAGCAACAATTACATGACACCATTTGTGGGACATCGTTTTTTTTTTTTTTCAATACTCATGTTGCATTTAACCAACAACTGGCAACAGTATACTCTACTGAATATCGTTTGCAGTTTGAACAATGAATAAAACATACTAATGCACACGTTAAGAGAATGAGCGTCAACAATATTCAGCGTCAATATAAAAGGCTTTTTTACTAACAATGACATCAGTGCACATTATTCATAGACTGCAACACATTCTTTCTTTTTGTCTTTTTTTTTTTTGTCAACAGAAACCACGACCCACAATAGCCCTTCAGAAAACATTAGTCATCATTTATCAAGACCGAATTCCTCTTAATGATTAATGATTAGGTCCTGTTTCATACAGTTTTTCCCCTTTCACAAGAACCTGTCGACATGTTAACCTGAAGCAACAAAACCTCCTCATTCAGAGTGGTTTACCTCTTTTGTTACTGAAGCCAGCTAGCTCGAAAAACACAACGCTTCAGCACCAAGCTATTAAAAAGCATAAAAAAGGTTGCTGTGGTGGAACGCTCGGGCATTGGAAATCGTCGTGATATCGACCGCGCATTCGCTCCGACAAAAACAGAGGAAGGGCGTTAGCGCTGTTAGCTCAGGGGCACACTAGCATAGCAGGTTTGCCTGCATCTGTGATTGTGTGAGAAGTCATAGTTTGGGCTACAGAAGTGACTGATCACCATTTAACTGCATTGAATTTAGTCTTATGTGGGTGGGAAGGAAAACAACAGTTATGAACCAACAACATAAAGTGAGACAAATAAAATACAATCATTGATCAACAAGCCGTCCACTGAAGCCATGTTTTTGATATATTTATCAATCAGGGTGTCTAAAAGGTTGACCCTTTCTCTCTTTCTATTTTCTCCCTATTATTTGTATTTACACATGCCTTTCACTGGGGCATTGTTATAAACAGATATGGTATTTTACTCCACTTTTTTCCAGTGTTGTAGTTTCTCTGGGTTTTGGTCTCTTGATCCGAATGTTCTTTTGGTGGCGAGGGGACCGACCCTTTTACGCTTTGCTGTCGTCGGCCTTTGTGTGGATGCTGTTGTCACTGTGCACTTTGATTTCAATCGTATCCGGCTTGAGAGATTCTTTCCCATTTTCCTCCTTCAGCGGTAGCTTCCTGCGGGCGAAGAAGAAACACAGAAGTGCATGTGAGATTTGAAGCTTCCCATTTGGCTAATGACAGGAACTTGAAACACATGTAATATTAATGTGAACAGGCACTGATTCGACCACCTAGAGGACATTTTTGTATGAAGCAGGCACATACAATAAATGCTAGCTAAATTAGGACTGAATTACTGCCATGAGAGTGCATGGGCCTAATGGTTTTCCCAAAAAAATCTGTACTTTCCTGCTTAAGAGCCCACCAGTAATCACCTTTTAGACCTTTTGGTGCGTGAATGAGTTGCCCCCACTGGGATTAATAAAGCTGAATCTAATTGAAGTGAAAAGGCAGCAGGGACATTAAATATAAAAGCCTCTGCTGGCTTGCATGCCCAGGGAAAGGTATGATCTGTAGTCATACCTCACTTCGGCCGCGATGGTTGGAGACCTAACCTAAAAAAGTTGTCAGTCTGCTTGTATTGAGATGACTAATGGACATTTTTCTAGAGTAACTACCTCAAAACACATTAGGGTTGAGCAGAGTACTCAGCTGAAACGGGTATCCGGTACAGATAATGCACTTTTTACGAGTGTCGATATCTGTATTAAATATAGCAACTTTTAGTAAATAGTACTCTTATTCCTGTGATTTAAAAACATTCCTCTGAAGCTCTATTCCTAAACACTCATATTCATTTCAGGCTTAAATTTCCCATTACCCCGCCCACTTACAGTCTAAGTCCCGCCTATTTCCATTATAGATACAAATACAGATAATTGAATTGGTTGAACAGATACAGATAACAGCATTAGAAGATTAAGAAACAGAGAAAGTGTTCAAATTAGGGTTAAAGTTAGGGAACCATGGTCTTGGTTATCTGTAGATAAAAACGTTAATCACAAAAACAACGATTCCCATGATACATTCAGGTGATTATACACTAATAAAAACATACTTATGAATATTATATTACATTTCTGCCAATAGACCTTCCTGAATGTTACATTATTTGCTTTTGGCTTTCTCTCACAGAGGGGTCTGGTTTTATTCTATATTCCTAAACTACCCCAAACTAACTGACTGCAGAAAATCAGAGGTCAGGTATTGTCATTCCAGCATAGCAAGAGTACTAATCAGATGCTGGGTGAAATATATAAAAGCAGCTGTTTGCACTGTATTTAAAGTTTAGAGACACTTATTTTACGTATAAACGTCAGTTTTAAAGTCATGGGGAGCACCACTCAGCCTGTAGTAAGAGCCGTATAATGACCTCCCTGGAGCCCTCCCAATGCGACAGAGATGTCATCAGGGTTTGCTGAGCTTTAGCAAGGAGACTACAAATATATAACAGAAAGCCTGCGTATAAAATGAGTCGAGTTTGAAGGACATTTTCCTGGCACAAAGAGTCTGATGAAAAGATGATATCGAGCTACATTATGGGAGATTCAGGAGCCACTGGTTTTTGGAGTTTAAACCACACTAGGGACTAAAAGTATACTTTAATGACACCTTCATGGGAACCTGGAGGTAATAGTTGTGGTGGGGGGGGGGTTGATAGGGACTCATAGGAAAGTTTTACCTCTGGGTCCTCTAAAGTTAATATGGCCACTGCGAGTGATGGCAGGCAGCATGTCTTTCAAAACTCATTTGGCATTTATTAGTATAGAAACACAATTTCTAAGAGCACTGATTTGAAGAGAACTGATCTAAAAGATCCTATCCTGTGTGTATTAGCGTGATTATTACCAGAGAAACTCATTTTATCAAAATATTACAGCCAATGTCACATTCAGAACATCATCAATGGCGTTCCTCAGCTCACTGTTCTCTCATCTTGGCTGGTTGTTGCTGTTGTTTCACTGCCGTGCTATCATTTTTCTGCCTGTGTTGACCTGAATAACATCAGAGCTGGCACATCTCCCATTTTCTTTTGATTTTATTCAATCAGAGGAAGACAAAAAAAGATAAAATACACATGCATATGTTATTAGGCATGGGGTATCTGATTGGCTGACTGCTTCTTCACCTGATCCCTTACGAGTCTTGTCTCGAGGAATTCAGCTGCAGCACATCACAGCTTTATCTCTACGATAATGTGGCCACCAGATGAAAATCTAACCAGCCTGAGTTCCCTGTGATGTGATGTATGAGAGCTTTTATCTGCATTCAGCACAAAAAACTGCTGTATCCTAATGCACTTAATACAGTGACTGGGTAAAAGTCTGAACAGAATAATACACTGACATAACGTGACCTAAATAGGTGCAATTTTTACTATGTATTAGAGTTTATGAGGTATGTGTTTTGTTTTAATGACCAGCATTTATATTCTAATGTTACTTAAACTCTGTATTTGGATATTTAAAATGGCCCACAATTAGGCAGTAGCTATTAAAAAAACCCTACATAAATCCTCTTTCTATGCTATTATAGGTAGTTTAATGTTTGCATGCTACATCTGCAGAGTTTTAATCTTCTGTAGGACACAGACTTTTAAAGAATTCCTCAGCAGTGTCGGTTTTATTTCCTCTAGCTGCTGAAATACTGAAGCCTAACCAAACAGCACTTACTGACAAACCAACAGCAACATTCACTGTGAAAATATGAAGCGGGACCCATGTGGAACAACGGATGTCTTTTTGTCGCTTCATTTTAGAAATAAAGACGTGCTGTAATTTCAGCAAGGAGACGTCTCAAGGCAATTTGTCCCTCAGCAAAAGCCTGCTGCTACGCAGAAAATAAACATAACCCCGACAACACAAAATATGAGGAAAATGTTAAGTTGCAGCCCTTTTTGCACATCAAAGCTTCAAAATCCTCTTTTCCCATGTATATTCTGGGATTGGTAGAGATTCTATAAGGGAAATCAATAATCAACTGGGGCTTTCACCTGGATTCACCATCAGTGCACTGGTGTCCCTCATATCATTTTTCTATTAAGAGATTTGCAGACATTCGGTCACGAGCAAAGAAAGCAGATGTAGACTTGATCCTGCTCAGCGTGCTTTAAAATGATCTGCATCTGGCTACCAGCAGGCCGGGGTTAGCACTCTTTAGCTGAGGGCTACTTATTTCCTGAGTTCGCGGGTTGTTCTGCTTCTTATTTTGTCATACTTCCAACTCTTGTTAATTATTCACCTTGCATAAAACCATCCATCAAAACCTTTCAGCTCGAGGGTTCTGCTCTACCCTCGTCCTTAGCCATGACACAGAAAACTATTTGCATTTTGAAGGTTTAATATCCCCGACATTGAAAAAATACAAATCTGTGTAACTCAATATGAGATAAAATGTCTTTGGATGATTCATATATTATTACATTAGTGGGATTTGGAGTAAAACATCCCTCACTGTGGTGTTTAACTTCAATTGTATTCATCTTTAATCCAATTTTAGATCAAAATAAGGTTGTAATGCACATAACTGCTGCAATGGAGCTTTATTCTTTTTTTTTCTTTTTTACAGCATTTATATCTCAATCATATCTCTCTCTCTCTCTCTCTCTCTTATTAATATATCTACTAATATATATATGTATGTTATGTGTATGTATGTTATATATATATATATAATAATATATATATAATATTTATATATGTATTGTATGTATTAAAAGAATACATATAATATAGGTATATATAGAATATTAAGATATATATATATATAGTGTATATACTATGTATATAATAATTATACATATATATATATATATATATATATATGTACCACAGTGGAAAGTCATGGTTCACAATATTGGACTTTTTATTACATAAACTGTGAATTGACAATTTTAAAAGACATTTTATATCGGCACAAAATCACCCCCAAATAGCCCTTCTCGATGTTTACCAACTCCAAGTGGGTTTTTCAGTGAGTGAGATCGTGAATGTAAAACAGTCGCCCTGCGTGATACTGTACCTAATAAGCCCGAATATTGCAACTGGCCAGAGGGGGTTCCCCTTCGGTTGATTGGTGGATGTTAAAGTTCCCACACAGTGGAGCCAATTTCATGTCCCATTAGCTCCATGCATACCCAGATTGGACTTATGTTCAGACTGGGAGGTTTTCTCAACATACGAGAAGGTCTTGCCGCTCGTTTCCTCTCTTGAGTGTGGACGGCAAATCATGGGAATCATGACTGCATTTACTGAACCAACATATAAATACCCTTTGTCAGTAAAGAGTTGATGCAATGCCAATGTTTAATGTATACTGGGGACTGGTGGAGGCTAATGGAAGCTAGATGTAACAATAACTTATTAACAAATGTCACCACCTGTGTTTTTTTTCACATTCCAAGTCTCTATTTTCCTCTTGTGTGTTGAGTGAATTATAATCTCTACAGGCAGCTGATACACTCTCTACACGTCAACTTATTCCATGCTAATTAATCAAGGTTCCCAGTTTCACTTGGAGCTTATAGAGCTATAGAGAGTGAGAGTTTGAATAATTGAACAATAGGTGGAGTGTGAGATTTTTCTTACTGGAGCTAGTTGGGGGCGCAATTATTTTAATTATGAATTGGTGGGGCTACTGAACTTGTAGTAAATACATAAATACTTGTGGCATTTGAAAGTAAATTTCAAGTATCATGAAAGCCAATACAACAGAGACAGCAAGAAATACCAACAAAAACGTTCATTATTATCTGCCGGCCAGCTAACATTGCTACCAAGAGGGAGGAGCACCGGGGGAGAGCTACCGTAGCATGTCCTGGCTCCATCTACAGTACTCATTTAGTTCACTCTTGACAAGATGCATTCTATGATTAAATAATGCATTTTTACCATTAGACCGTCAAACATCTGAGAATTTATTTTCTTTGGCCACTGTAAATCCTCACACGCCAACAGTTTTTATGCTTCTCAAAGAGCCTACATGAAAGCGACTTTTGGCCAGTAAGTTTCTGATGTTCTTCCGGGAGTTTGTCACCCCCGCTGCTGACAGCACAGCTGGTTTTGAGGACTTTGGCACCGTAACATGGGCTGCAGTTGGCGTGACTTCAACAGATA